GAATTTTTTAACAATGAAAATTTAAACTGTGAAAAATATGTATATTGAAAATTTGATCACTTTGAAATAGGAATGTGAATTTTTTTAATAACTGAAAATTGCAACCATGTAAAAAAAATTACACTGAATTTTTTTTTAATGTACAAATAATGACATTGAATTTTTTTTAGGTTAAAAATATATTCTGAATTTATTTTTATACTGAAAAAGTAAGCACTAATATACAACATTCAAATTTCAGAGGTATTTTTTATTCAAATTCTGATGGCACATATTTACTTCCATACTTCAGAGAATACCACTACAGTAACAGAAACAGAGGTTAATTAAACTCTCTTTGCCAAACCGAAAACTCAGGTTTTGGCGGAACATCCACCCTAACCCCTAATTCCTTCAATCAGTATATAGACCTAACTACATGCTGAACTTTATAGTAAACTCAGTTAAGTGACCATTCAGACAGACATTTTCACTCCCTGTTGGTCACGTAATGCTCCCCACACGATTCCTGTGCCATCTTTGTTTTTTGTCGCAGCTAGAGCATTGCTTAGCGAGGAGAGCTCTCGCAAAGCAATCTGGGATAAAACTGCTAATCTAGTGACCATAAATGATCACTACCTTTCAAGGTATATTGTGTGAAATTTCTTGTCCATTAATTTTTTATCCACTAGACGTTCGGACACTCATCTAAAATAGCGGAACCACTATATAGTGACAAATAATATTGACTTTCCGAGTACAGAGACTTCTAGGTGGGTTCAGTTGCTTGCTCCCCAGAAAAGGTTTTACATTCCATTATTAAAATCTGGCCATTTTCAGAGCCTTGAGGAACAAAAACATCATTATGTCTTTTGAATAGACTAGGCTTGCATTTCTTTGTTTGTTCTCTCCTGTCTCCACTGCTAGACATTTCAGAAATTGTAACCTATATACTTGATATTTATGTTGTCTTTCTTTTGAATCCTCTATGTACAACTGGTTATAAATGACATTTCAATGTAATTTAAATGAGTTGCTTCATATTAACTTCTGTTCACTCTCGTTAAGGAAAGCCAGCTTTTGAACATATTCATATTATAATCTTGCACAATACTTAATATTTTTTTACAAAATAAACATTTGACTTTTAAAACATATACGGCTCTGGTGCAGTGTCCTCCTTTTATATTGCCTACTCTCCCTCTATCTCTCTCTTCACTGCTCTTCTTGCTGCTTGGCCAAAAGAGGAGCTTGGTTTGACTTGGCCTTTTCCTCCCTATCCGATTTTCCCTTTCATGAAGAATATCAGCACAGTCGAATACTTAAATTATAGAAATGAAAACAATATGCTATTGCAGCAACATTTTTCAAGGAGCCTTATTTCAACATGAAATTAAATCAGTTTTGTGAGTTCCAGAGCAGCAACATCTAACACCGAGAAGTCAGTTTTTCATTTTCAGCTCCAGACATCGCTAACATGTCAGTTGCATAATGAATGTTGATTCAGCTACTGACAGAGTTAAATCAACTTTTGCTCAATGTTTCTTTGCTGTCTGAGTAGCTCGCTGGACTTAAATATTTTTCCATGAAAATACATGTTTTTCTCACAGTCATCTACAACTTAAACTGCTAAATTTGTAGCTTGATGGTCTCCTTTTCCATTGACTCCAGTGACTGACAGCCTGAACGGGCACAGGCACTGACTCCAACTGCCAGTCACCTGGTAGTAGGATTCAGTTACAATATACAAATTGAAATTCAAGGGGTTTAAACAAAAAAAATTTTAAAATCACAGCACGTTGATCCGATTTGTGGCATAGTTGCCTTGCAGCAAGAAGCTCCTGGGCTTGATTCCTGGCTCAGGGTCTTTATGCATGGAGTTTGCTTGTTCTCCCCATGCATGCATGGGTACTCCAGCTTCCTCCACAGTCCAAAAACATGGCTGTTAATTGGCGTCTCTAAATTGCCCTTAAGTCTGTGTGTGTGTGTGCATGGCTGTATGTCTCTGTGTTATCCTGTAAGTGACTGGTGACCTGTGCAGGGTAAACCCTGTTCAGGGTTTACTTTTGCCCTGGTGTTAGTTTTTTATTTTAATAAATGTAGTAGAAATTTTATAGCCTAGTAAACTAGGCCCACCCGCCAGTGGCCAAAATCATTTTTGCCTGCGAGTTGGTCTAGCATCAATTATTGCCCCAGGCCCTGGCGGGCACATCACAATGCAGAGATGTGTTTTGAATGTCTGGATGCAAAGCGAGCGGGGTTTTGAGGGCGTGACAACAAAGCTGCGCGACTCTGGGAAAGGAAAACAATAGCATGCACTGCGGCAGCGGCAGCTTTCAAAGGAGCACTCCATTGAAAAATTAGAAGTTCATTAGAAGTTGTTCAATACAAGTGTGAGTGTGTATATATATATATATATATATATATATATATATATATATATATATATATATATATATATATATATATATATATATATAGATATAGATATAGATATATGTATATATCTATATATATATATATATATATGTATATGGTTCTGCTGTTCTTTACTTTGCTCCTTGTTTTCTAGTTGTATTGGTTTAATTCCAGTTTTGTTGTAATTTCTAGATTTATGTTAGTTCTCATGTTTTGCTGTTGTCTATTGCCCTCTTGTGTGTGTGTGTGTGTGTGTGTGTGTGTGTGTGTGTGTGTGTGTGTGTGTGTGTGTGTGTGTTCCTTTCCCCTTGGCTCCCTCGTTGTCTCCTCTCACACCTGCTCCTTGTCTGCTCGTTAGCCCTCCCTCTGTCTCTCTCTGCTATATATGCTCTCCCTCTGCTCTCACTCTTTGTTGGTTCCTTGTCTTTGCTGTCTTCCCACGCTGTGGTCTACGTTCTTCGTCTCTCCCTGGCTCCTTGTGTGTTGTTTCCCCAGATGTCTCCATAGTTCTGGTTTGCTTTATATTTTTTCATGTTGGATTTTGGATTGTTACCTGTGTTTATTTCATTAAAGCTGCAAGAAATCTCCTCAGCCTCTGCGCCTCTGCATTTGGTTCCTCAAACCACAACTAAACCCTGACAATATATATATATATATATATATTACTTTAAAGCATCACTGTATGGTCCATTTACCGATTTAATGCATAATTAAAAACAATATTTCCGAAGTTGAGCGGACCGCTGCAACAAGCGGAGCTCCGAGGCTAATGGCAGCAGGGGCTAACCGCAGCCCATCTGCAGCGGCCCTCTCTCGGCATAGTCTTGTGTGAAGGACCACTGGCTCTGATGGCAATTTTTGACTCAGGAAGAGGCTCTACACTCATTCATCTTTGAGAAGGATGGTTTACCGACAGGCTGCTTGTTTACACTCCCCCAGACTAAATAACACCTTTCATCTCCTATTTAGTCTGGTTTATCAGGCTAGACATTTTAGGGGTTGAGACTCTAATGAACCAATCAGAATCCTGGAAAAGGTTCCTGAGTTGGAAGCAGCAGGAATAAAAAATAAAAAAAATGCCCCAGAAAACCACCTTGGTTCAAATGGCTCTTGCTGCTGGAAGACCTTTTAAAGAATCTTTCCCCCACCAAGAGAATTGATGATGTTGAGATAAAATGTCAGTATTGTAATAAGGAGAGATTCCCCTCTGACATCACACTCCTGGGCCGGCGCCTGTTGACCACATAAGGCTATACATGCCTCTTCTCAGCTGAAAGCTACATTAAATAATGACCAAAGCCCTCCAGAGAAATCTGTGCTTGCTGGACCGAGTCAGACTAACTCTCCTACGATTGAGAAGGGGCTGATCATAGTGAATGTCTTTTCCTGCAAATCAAACCAAGTTGAATACAGTGTTGTGAACCCACCTGCTCAAGCAGATGAGAGAGAGCTATCCAGCTCTGGTCGACCTACACCGGCGGAACAGCAGGGCCCAACTGGTGTTGGCAGAGGAGCCTCTAACCTGTGCCATATCGGTCCTGCTGCTGCCTGAGCCGCTGCTGCCACCTATCTGATCCGTGGCCACCAGCTAACTGCCATAACTAAAAAGAGACATCCCATAAGGCTACTGTGAAAATTAAAATGAATCCCTGCAAAGTTGCCTCTTGTTATTGCATTGGATTAATCCAAATCTCTTTGAGATCTGCCTGTTTGATAAATAGACAGTACAGATTGCGCAGCCTGACCAAATCGCGGGAAAAAAAGTCTCCTATGTTCCACCGAGCCAAAACAGTAAAATCTATCCTTCCTTGTTTTTATCTGATGCTTAATTAGTGCTCTCCTTAGGTGAACGAGGTAGAATAGATAGTTGTGCATGTTTTTGTGTTCGGTCTGAAAGAAGCTTTCACCAGCGGACTAAATGTGAAATGTCTGGACCTGCAGTGAGTTTGAGTCTAGAGTTGATAAAGTCAACAAGACTCAAACTCACTGCTGGTCCAGACATTTGAATTGAGAAAGCTTCCTGGAGGGGAAGCAAAACGTCTTCAAATCTTGGAAACCAAGTCCATTGTTTTTTAAACTTTTACAGAGAAGTTCAACAATTATCTGTTTAACCTGGATTTAGCAGCTGGTTTGCTATAAGAAACAAAAAAAAGTTTCCTTTAAATGATACTAAAGCTAAGAGGAAATGGTCTGGGTTCGGGTTTTGGGGGTTTCAAAGGGGGCTTACATGGTTGTCAGTCTCAGAGAGCACTAAAAACTGTTTCTCACTGAACAATGTATTGAAACCCAGACTCAGAGGCTGTCTCACTGTTGAGCACTTTATCCTTTTTATTAATTCAGTTTGATTCTATGACTGATCGCATCAAGAAGTTTTCTGCATCATATTCACCTGTTTCTCAAAAGTCTTGTTAGATTAAAGAGATAATGTTTGCAAACAAATATATTACAAAAAAGGCTGATTTTATAAATGGTCTCAAACTTGCCAATGTCAGAGCTGCTAACTTCAGTTTCATTTGTTTGCTGTGGTAAGGACCACAAAGGAAACAGGAAGCACAAGTAATAAGTTCCTCTTCTGCTAAACACCAAACCTCAATGGAACTGTAGGGTAAAAGGCTAAAAGCAATCAATTCATACCCACCAACTCCAAAAGAGCTGATATCTGGCTGATGGAACATGGGGGAGAGCTGTGAATAGCTGACAAGATGCATAATCCCATCAATGAGGAAAAAGGGTCAGTCTTGCAATATTAAATGCATTGTACAGTGCTTATTATTGTTAGAGAGGTGTTTCTAGTTTTTAATTTTTTAAGGTTGAGTTTTGCATTCTGTTCTTTTTGCATTTTGATAATTTTTTCAATACCATACCATAGCAGAAAATTGCTGCAAGCTATAAAACTCACATTTAAAGGACAAGATCATCTTTTCTCCTTAGTTTGTTGTTTAAATATTGGATTCCTTTATGTCAAAAAATGTATCTTCCCTCAGTTACCTTCCTTCTGTCTCGGGTGTTCTACATCTCTTATCAGCTCATTTGGTTTCTTTCATCACTGTCTGTGAATTTAAGCTCTTTGTTTCCAGTATAATTGTCGTCTTCTCTGTCTGTGGTCCATTTTCACTCTATTCAAGTCCTGTGAGTTTTCTATTCTTATTATAAGAATCTTCCCATCCCAAGTTACTGTCTACTTTTTTGGTCCAACGAACAACCTACAAAACACCAGTGACCCAACAAGAAGAGGGCTAATGCTTTCAAAAAGGATCTTAACCCTGCAAAAGCTTAAGATTTTAGATAAAAACAACCTTTACAGGCCAGCTGATTGCCTTCTCTTGTCCAGGGACAACTATTTGAAAAAGACTTCACATTCTGATAAAATGCCTTCCTGACAGAAACATGCATGAAAACTGCACTGCGACCACAGCAGCCTACAATGACTCAGTCACCACCCAAAACACGAGCACGATTCTTCAGTGTGATCAGCCTGGAAGGGCAGCCTACCCTCTCTTCATACTGATCTACAGCATACTGTTTCTGGTGAGCTTTGCCTCTTCTCCCTGCCTTTTAAGATCTAATCACATCGAGTCAAATCATCTCCAAACCAATGTTTCTGATGTTTTGATCTCCAGGTTGGCCTAATACTCAACAGCGTCATTTTGTGGTTTCACTGCTGCCGACCACAAAGAAATGTCTCCAGAAGCTTGATGATATTCTTGAAGAATCTGACAGCAGCTGATTTGCTGCTTTGTCTCAGCCTCCCGCTGCGTATCATTCACTATGCAACCAGCTCTGTCACCATCCACCTGATTTACTGCAGTTTCGGAGCCTCCATGCTTTTTCTCAATATGTACGGCAGCATCTTCTTTATGGGATACATAGCTTTGAACAGGTACAGCAGCTTGTAAAATCACTCCGAGACCCATTTGACCCCCTACTTGATGCGAAAGTATTCAGATGTTGAAGTCATAAAAGTAAACAGGAATATTTTTGACTGAAGATTTTAGTTTCATCTCCTTTTCTCTCCAGGTATCTGAAGGTGGTCCATCCTTTAAGAACCTGCTTCCTGCTGACGGTACGTGCTGCATGCATAACATCCACCACCACCTGGCTCCTTCTCCTGGCCGCGGTGATGGCATATTTCATCCCGCTACTGAAAACCTACCAGCGTGTGAAGTCTGCTGATTGCAGCTGCGAGGAACTGCACAGTCAGAGTGTCAAGTTGGTCTACAAAGCTGTCCACCTCTGTGCTTTAGTCACCTTCCTGTTGGTGTTCCTGTCAATGCTGTTCTCCTACTACAGTGTCTACCATAAGGTGCTGCAGGCTCAGCAGAGACAGCCTTACTGCTCAAGCTCCAAGAAGCTTCTGAGATCTAGAAGAAAAATGTTAATGTTGATATGCATCTTTTGCATTTCCTTCATTCCTTATCACATCGTTCGACTTCCGTTTGCTTTTCAGCAGGAGAGCAACTTGGCCCAGTCATTCTACTACCCACTGCAGTTAACAACTATGGTGTCTGTTCTTAATGTCTGTCTGGACCCGCTTGTTTATTACATCTTCAGCAAAGATTTTCGGGACCATCTAAGGCTGAGGCTAAGGAATTCTAGAATCATCTCTCACAAGATGAATGAGGACAGGAGGAGAAGTGAACACCAGCAGAGGACAAAGGACATCAAAGAGGAGGTGTCCTTTAGTACAACTTCAAGATTAGGAGGGAATTTAGACTCAGAAAACTGATGCAAAAATCATAAAACTGTGCCACATTTGGTTATTTAATCATGATCCAAAGTAAAGATTCTTATATCATACTATATATCATATTAAACGTTTCTTTACATTTGTTTTCTCTAAAAATTCTGTTTTTCATTCACATTGTATTCAAAGAAACTGCATTTTTCCTGTCCAGTTTCCAGTAATATCATTTGTAACAGTTATACCATAGCTCCATCTGAATATGGCTAATTGTAGCTCCTATCACCTTCCTCCCCATTTCATGGGTCAACAGTAAGAACACTATCAAGGTAGGAATGAACAGCCTTTAGCCTCATGGATGTCTTTATGGACATTGATGATACTGGTCAAATTAGAACTACAGCCTTCTGGAAAAGAACTAAAAAAAACCCCAAAAAAACAGGTTGCATAAAAAAAGTTGCACAAATGTAGCAAAAGCTGTAAAATAAGATTCATAAAACCATGCACATGCTCTCCAGGATAACATGGCTAGCCAGAATAAAAATGTAGCACACAAATTTATCTTATTATATAACAAATCAGGTATTTTTGATTTATGCCCAATTTTGAAGCGTGGTCTGTTATTCCACGCCACAACGCAAGAGGGACAACAACGAACCAGCTGTGGGTCTAAATACGGCCAAGGTGGTGAGGAAGTGGCGGCAAGTTTGTGCGACAACGGAGGGATATGAGGGTGAAAAAGAGTGAGATCCAGGTGGAAAAAGGGTCCCAGCGTTCTCTCGCACCTCGCTCTTCTAGCTGGTCCAAATTCACGACTCGTTTTCCACAATGGCGGTCATACAAACAAAACAGGAAACAAACAGGTAATATGCAGTAGAACGGATGTAGATTTGACCAATCAGAGGCCTCCTGTCTGTGGCACTGTCTGCGGTCACCTACAATTTTGGAGAGGTGCAGCAGAGTGTCTGTGGAGGGGGCGGGGACATATCTGCGTTCACTGCAACACACGCAATTGACCTGGTTTCTGAGTATAAATCAGCCTTAAGGAGGAACATTCGACACCTCACGCCTACAAACCAACTTTAGTTTGAGCCAATCATGGGGACAAATGAAAGTTGTTATCTTGCTGGTCTTCTTTCAAAAATGAAATCAGAGATTTAGATCTGATAGCTGCAGCTACGTGTACCTCCTCCTGTGGTGCCATGTTTATTGCGTTTTTGTCACAGCTGTATGTCTCACGACCTGAAACCCTTATTCTGCATTGACACTTGCCCTCCCCTTCTGGGTCAGTGTCAAACAGAGAATTCTCATGTGTTTGTGAATGCACAAGTAAAGCAAAAATTCCATAAATGTTCACCGCAATGGACATTGTGGATGTAAAAATGTGGATGTCAAATGAACCAGCTGACCGATGTTATCTGATGGGTAGCATTGGTAACCAAAGGGAAGAGAGAAAAAACACAAATTCACTGAGGCATAAATTCAGTTTGTTGAGTGAGCTGAAGTCAAACATTATCTTGTTGGCAGACAAAGTGTGTGTTAGATAACAGGAAGTGTGGAGTGGCACCATGTTCACACATCTAGATACAAAACTATTTACAAGACTTTGGTTGCCTCAGATCTTATCACAGTTTATGTGTTAATCTGGTACACAGCTCTATGAGCTTTAAAAGGTTTTAAACATAGTCTTGAAGGTCCTATAATGCTTTTTTAGTCCTTCCATAGCCAATTATAGAGAAACATGTATGATAAAATGCTAACCTTGGCTCTAGGAACTATTCAGATGTTATTAAATACTAGTTATCTTCCAACCTGGAGGAAAGAAGCTGTCTTTTAAACCAAAGCTAACATAAAAAAAAAAAAATCTCTTACTGATGAAAAACATATTTTTCTTGCAAATTGATGATGATAAATAGTTGCTACCCTTGTGGAGATTAGCAGCCACTTTGTCTCAACTTTGAGCCATAAATGCCACTCACTGATCAGAGAAAGTGAATGTTTGTTTACTATATAGAAACAGTGCGGTGAAGGTAGGTGATTCGTGGAGGAGCTGAGTAAAGACAGCTCTACTTAGATCTGGTGTGGCCATTTGTTTTTCCAGGATAGGGAGGATCTGCTGCTCAGAGAGCAGAATTCATGAGGATCATGCAGACATGCATAAATCAAGTGAAATACATCTTATAGCATGATTTTGATAAAGGAATAGCATTGTAACCGTTAAAAGCTCAGAAAATTTGACTTTGCGCAGTAAAGGCCCCTTTAAACTAATGTGTCTGCCTTACGGATTGAAACGTAGTTGGTTCCACAAGAGAGGAACCTGAAAACTCCCATTCTGTGAATAGAAATTCTAGGAACCTCTTGAAAACCTGCAGTGTGGAAGCAAAGTGTTCTGTAACATATGGAGCAATCCAATAGCCCGTATGATGGAGCTTGATTGTGATGAGAAAGAGATTTATACATGAGAAAGAGAATTTCTAATTCATTTCTGGGTTTGGTAGTGAGCCAGTGAAGAGAAGCCAAAATGCGAGAATCTTTAATAGTAGCGTTTTGGGTCACCTGAAGGCTTTTAACTACATTTTGTGGACTTCCGGTTAGTTAAAAATTACAATTGTCCACTGTATTCAGCATAACAAAAAATTAGCTTCGCCTCGTCTGTTCCTGTTTGGCTGTGACACCATCCTGGAGAGAAATATCATCTGTGCAGCTGCCATCAACGCCTTTGTTTATAGATTTTGGAGATCGGCCTTTTTTTTAGTGTAGTCCTGTTTCTCTGACTGTGACTGGCTGGATGTGCTCTCTTCATCCTCTGACATGGGAGTTGGCTCAAAGCTTGTCTTCCTGGCTGTGTGTTTCCTGGACAGGGCTGCCTTTTACAGTTGCTTTTTGTGTCTCTGCTTCTGTCTCCTTGAACCCAAGTTGGCCATGACAGATGGCCGCTCACACTGAGTCTGGTTCTGCTGGAGGTTTATTCCTGTTAAAAGGGAGTTTTTCCTCTCCACTGTCGCTTCAAGCATGTTTAGTGTGAGGGATTTCCTTGGAGTCAATGAGTCGATGCAATCAACTGGTTTTCCTTAGATAGAAAACTTTGAATCAGTTTACCTGTATGATCTGGTGAACTGCAAAGTGCCTTGAGGTGAAATGTGTTGTGAATTAATGCTATATAAATAAAATGAATTAAACAGCGTTATTGGATTTCATCCAATAACGCTGTGGAGGCTTTATCAATAACATTGTTGTACAACTTTGATGTATTTAATTGCCCACTCCAGTAGGTCTGGAAAATTGTATCTATTCATATAATATTCGGACCCTCATAAAATGTTTATGAACACAAGCCCTACTGACTGTGTTTTAGAACAACAGTGTGAATCAGTTATGGTCAAAGAGATGATTCTGCACACATATTGTATATATTCACAAGTTCCATTTAAAATATAAGAGTTTATTAACAACAAATCCTTCAGCTCCAAGTTAAACTAATTTTAGTTAAAAACATTTGACTTAAACTAGAGAAACTCAACTAAATTAAACTGCTATGTACAAATAAGGAGTAAAATCAATCAATGATGCAATATCACAGTATATTTGGATTTTATGTTTGAGAACCAAAGTTTATCTTGAATAATTTGGGATGTGATCTAATTAGCTTGTAACCTTGAAACCTCTGAAGGTAAAGTTTGTAGAAGCTTTAAGAGGAGAGCAGCACTGTGGGGCAAAAGTGGACCATCTACCCACAGTGAACATTTTAAGATGAAACATGGACGTTGGTCTTCATTGTCCAAAATGATCATGGTTTAAGGCCCAGCAAGATAAACACACTTCCGTGAATCCCTACATTCAAGCGGTCTTAAGATTAACGGATGAAAAGTTGGCGTTTAAAAAGATTGGTTAAGTGTTAATGCTAAATCCGTCAGAGTGATGTGTCAAGCATTGTTCTTTAAATAACTGCCCTAGTTCACTTTCACACAGAATCATTTACCTCGGCCACCTCTGGTACTGAAATGTTTTGGGAGTTTTTCCTTTATCAGTCAATTACAGTATGTTTTAGATGCATGATTCTCATTTAGCCTTAATTGAAAATTATGTTTATGTTTCCTTTTTCTTTTAATCAATAGTTGTTTATTGTTTCAATGAAATGAATCCTGTCTGAATGTAGTACTTGAGAACCTGAAGTCTACATGATAGAGGAGAATGGATGAATATATATGTTCATACAATTTAGAGGGGAATCTTATGGGATTCAGGAGCAGAGTGATGCTGCCCTCTAGTGAAACACCAGAACATATTGCTAGATAATTTATTACCCACATGTGCGTCACACATTACTAAATATGAGTATTTGTACAACCCTTTTTCCCTATTTATAAAATTACAGCCACAAGTTTACATTTTTTTGACACTGTCTTATTTGCTTTAGAAAGTCATGATTTCTTGTTTGTCTAATTCAATCCCATGGTTAAAGTTTGTTGTCTTAACATGAGTAACTATGAAAGTGTTCAAAATTTCTGAATAATTTGAAAATTTACTGGGAAAAAATAGTAATTTCATGGTGTCAAGTTAAGCAAATAGGCTTGTCTAATTTCTTGTAACATTGGAAAAAGTAAAACCTCAACATTAAATATTAAAAAGAGTTAGCATGTTTTCGAGTAAAGAAAAGGTATATTCACCAAGGACTTTTTTTTGTATAATTGCACCTTTTAAAACGTCTTTTCTTGACGATGTCACTGTATAAATATTCAAAGCAACAAAGCTCTACGAGTCATGTTAAAAAGAAATATCTACAATGGTTTTTGCAGTTTATATTGGTTCAAAAAACTGGATAAATGTATTTAAAAGCTCTAATTAATGATTATGATATTAATAACTATGATATTAGCTGCTGATTGTAAATTTGTATAATATGTAATGCTTTGCAAAAAAACAAAACAAAAAAAAAAAACAGAAAACTTCTCTGACCATAAAGAGGTCTGTTTTAATATATTTATCAATTCAGTTAATCATCTAGAAAAAATGAGCCTTCTGGTACCACTATAAAGTACAAAATAAGACTCAAGTTTCCTTATTGGCAAAGCCTAGAAAATTATTCATTATGTTGCCAATATACAGTATTTTTACGCTTGGTGGTTTTAGGCTAAGAACAATCTTTTAATTTGACTAATATGTTTCCTATACCTGTAAAGAATATTACTGAGAAACCCAGACGGTCTTAATTTGAGTCCATATTAAGAGCAAGGAGGCCTTTGAATTCTAAATATGTGATCGAAGGTCAAGAATAACAGTGAAAACAAGCTGAAAGTCAGTTGTTCGCTATGCCAATGCCAAAGAATGTCTGGAACACAGCATCTTCATCCATGATCTTCAAAAATGGTTTTCCCCTTCCTAAAAGATAAATTCCCACTAACACCCTTGACTTCAGCTCCTTTGGTGT